TTGTACCATTAGATAGATGAGGGACAGAGGAACTGGACCTCGATTCGAGATCTTCGAGTTCCATCGGCCTGATATGCCGTTTTGGCTTGTTTTTGCTGGGTTGTTCTTCCCAACCGGCGTTTCTTTCCTTTTAGTCCATGGAAGAACTACGCGATTTTGCTATGAAATCCCCACAGACGGCGCCAAATTGTTTGCTCAAAAGTTATCACATATCTTGTGAATGAAAAACAATACAAATAATCACGGGAAAATCATAGCAAATCGTAATAATCCATTGGACCAAATGAAAGAAACGTAAATAAGTGCTCAAAATTAGGGGGAGAAACATTAAAAGCCTTTTTTAATAATATTGTTTGGTCTGCCTCTCCATGAAGAGGTTCAGAGCCTTACAATGGTGTTTTCTCTTCCCATAAGATGAGTATATTTTTCCCTTCTCTCTCCTGTCTATAGTAGTGAAGAAGTAGCCCCCTTTCTAGGGCTTCCACTCTTAGTATTTATAGATGTGAGCTTCGTGAGCTGGCAATAAATGGTCGTGGCTACGCTGAGGTTCCGTCCCCGTGGGGGAATGAATGGGCCGTGCCCTCGTAGATTCAATCGGACAAGAGTCGAATCCTCTTATAAATAAGTGGCCATACCGCTTATTAATTATGGATTACCTCAAGAGGAGATTAACTCCGTTAATTACCGTGAGGTCAGATTCTGACCCATACAATTCCTTTAATTACCAAAAAAATATTTTATATTTTAAGACTTAGGGAAGAAGATATTTGTATAAAGGAAAGACAAACATTTAGTCAAGCTCTTTTTGTTTCCCATTCGATATTTTATATCCGTGTTAGGCTTCGGCTAATTCGGATGCATGACATGTAAGACAAATTAAGGAGAAATCACCCCCTATCATAATTTTATCATGTTTGATATCCACTTTAGGTTTCGATTAATACGGATTCATGCCATGTAAGATCTATTAAGCGGTATGCACTTCGTATTACAAACATATGATAAAGAATGCAAAGATCTTATCCATTCCATTGTTAATATTTGTGGTCATGTAATTTAGGGTGACCCTTGGATAATTAAGTTCTTACTTTGCTTTTTTTTTTTTTTTTAAGTTATCTCTCGTATTAAAACTTATATTTTGTACTCTCATTTCTTCTTTCTACTAAGCTACCTATTCCTTCATAAACGAGGTCATAAGGACATTGAATAAATCAAATTTCAAATAGTTTTTCATACCTTCTCAAGTTTTCAGGCATTACGCAGGTTCTATTGTTCCAACTTTCTATCTTTCTTTTTAATTTAAACTTTATTATTTTTTATGCCTTTTACTTTATTAGTGTATATTGCTTTTTTACTATTTTTAGAATTTATATATAACAGCGAAGAAAATATGAATCGTGTTACCCAAAATAAAAAATAACAAATGAGATATGAGTCGAAACTCTAATATGAAGTTTTTTAAAAACTTAAGGCTTCCCAATAAAGCTTGATTTTAGGCCAGTAATGTAATTGAGCGCCCTTGATAATACAAGTTGGAAAATTTTGTAAGCATTTAAAAAAACAAAAAGTAGTAATCGGCTAAGATTTGATATATTAATTGAGAGGTGACCGACAATTTTAAATGACTAGGTACATAAGAATTGTAAAATTACCGAAAAAAGTGAATTTGTTTTCCAATAGATATTTAAATATTAGAGTTGTATTTGCACGTGTATATGATTTTGGCTGTTTTTGAATTTTTATGAGTGATGTGAATTAAAAATCTTGATAAATAGCTTTTTGAATTTTTTTTTAAATATTTTCGAAAATTAAAATTCATGTTCGAGTGAAAGTTAAAAATAAGAGTGTTAAACGGGCCGGGTTGACCCGGTTCCAGACTGACCCAGACCTGTAGAACCCGGAACCGGCCCGGACCGGTAAGAGGGGGCTGGGCTGGGGGGTTGGTCCGATTTAGTTCTTTGAAACGGGTAACTGGCCCGGTTGAACCCGGAAGAGTGAACAGTAACTCTTACCAGGTTAACCGGTCCGGTTTAAACGGCTACTTTTTTTTTTTTTTTAATTTTCGAATTCTGTGGGCAAGAAATTGAACAGGAAAAAAAGAAGGGAAAAAATGGCAAGTTGCAGTAGTTGTACATGTTCTTGTAGATCCAGAATTACTGCAAAATTAAATGTTATTAATCAATTTGCAACACCAAGAGGATTACAATTGATTTTCCCTGGAAACCCTAGATTAAAGCAAATACCTAGAATTTTTGTGGTAAGAGCATCAGCAGTTGATAGTTCATCTAGCTTTGTTGAACGCATGGAAAAAGCCTGGTTGATTTCCAAGGTATTTTTTTTTTTTTACCTATTTGTATTATGTGTTTTGTTTATCTGTTCATATTGTCAGTTCAATTATGTGATGTAAACAAGGGCATGGGCGAAGCTATATAGTCCCGAGGGTGGTTCGTCGAAAATTACACTATGTATATAGGTGAAATATTGCATTTTAGAGGTATATATTTAAAACCCTTGGTGAATTTACTTGTTGTTAAAAATGTAAACCTTTCAATTTGTAAGTTTGAATTATGAAATAAAAGTAGCACTTGCAAATTGCAATAAGTGCAATTTTTTTCTATCTTCCTTGTATTCTTTATGTTAGTACTTTGTATTAATATAACTTACAATATTTATAAAAAATTCCAAAAAAAAAAATTAAAAATACACTAAACCCGGCCCGGCCCGGCCCCTCAACCCGTAACCCTTACGGTTCAATTTTTACCCGAATCAACCTGAACCCGTTAAATCCGTTAAGAACCAACCCGGAACCGGCCCGGACCGCAACCCGTACGGGTCCAAAAAATAGAGGCCCGGCCCGACCACTCGTTAAACAACCATAGTTAAAATTTTCATGAACAAATATTTGATTTCGAAAAAAAATAAAAACATTCGAAAAAAAGAAATCCTTTTTTATGCCAAACAGGCTCTAGAATAAATATATTCTCTCTCTATTCAATTTATGTGACTGATTTGACTTGACACCAATTTTTTTTTTTTTGAAACTTATTAGTAGTCTATCTATAATTAAAAGCCGAGGAAAAAAGCATGTCATGAAGCCAAGTGGCAGTATCCCCAATAGACACTTGGCAGATTCAGACAAAGCTCCAATTTCTTTGGAAGTACACGAATGAAATTCACTTTCAAAACCGTCAATCTCAAAAACTGTACACCTTCCCTTGGAAAATTCTTATTTTTCATTGTTTAAAATTATTAAATAAACATGGGTGGGTATACAAACCGTTCAAACTACCCACGTTGGTGGGAAAACCAACCGTTCATACTGGGCTTTATATATCTGATTTTTTTATTTTTAAAAATTTTAATTAACTGAACGTTCTGGGCTTCATATATCTGATTAATTTTTTTTTAAAAATTTTAATTAACTGAACGTGGGGTAAAATTTAACTCCACAATTTTAGGTTTAAACTTTTTACCTACAACTTACCCTAAATTGTCTCTGCTAAATCACAATACGCTCAACTGTGTAACCCACGATTTAGTATAGTGGGTTCCAACTGATAAAAACTGCAAATATATATTTCCTCCCACAACTTAACCTACTGCAATTCTACTTTTCGTTTTCATATCAAGATTACAAGTAAAGTTACTTCTTATGCAAAAGATGACTAATCACATTGATTTCATCAAGGATATAACAATTTCAAAGATGCAATGGAAGTTGAAAGTCCGGGTTGTCCGTATGTGGGAAATACCGGATCGTTTTAATCCTGGAAATATATTCTCGATTGAATTGGTTCTACAAGATGAAAAGGTATTTTAAATATGTTATTCGCTGTGTAATTCCTTTTTGTTTTCGAAATTTCAATATCAATATATATAGATTTTATTTGCTCTGTGACATTGTTATATGAATACTTTCAAATTGCAAAAAACAGTGTACCTTCCAAGTGTTCCATACATTGATTTGCTTTGCTTGCAAGTGTAAAACAAGTTAATTGCCAATGTTGACCACCTGCACATCTGTAAAAACATGCTTACATAGCAGGTTAACCGTATATATACACACAGTAGGTGGAGTTTACTTTATTTAGTCAAAAGAAAGAATTCTGTTTTCATGTTTTTTTGCTAACGCATGTTGTCATCACATACATAGAAAATGCAAAATCTAACAACTACAGAAGATAAGCAAAGACACTACAAACCTTGATAAATAGTATGTAATGAATATTATTAAAAGGAGAGGAAAAAGCCCTCTCCGTAAGCCAAGTGGTAGCCTAAAAAAATGCCACATGGCATAATTGGTTACTAATTAGTTATTTAGTTTATAATTAGTTATTGGTTACTTATTTTTGAATTTAAATACATATAAAAACGAAAAAAATAAAATACAATAAAAAACTACCATATATATTAATTGGTTACTTTATTTGGATTAATAAATATAGATATCTTATAAATAAATATAATTTAAAAAATGAAAATTAAATATATAAAAAATAACTACACATTCAAATTGGGTGGGAGTAGTTTCAAGTTGGAGTTTTAAAATAATTTTAAAATAAAAAACAAAATTAAAAAAAACAATGAATTACCAATTCAAATTGGGGAGTAGTTTCAAATTGGAGTTTTATAATTATTTTGAAATAAGAAAATGAAAAATCTATTTATATATAATATACATATAAAAAAACAAAAATAATAAATAAAATAAAAAATTACCATATATATATATATATATATAGTAATTGATTACTCTATTTGGATTAATAAATATCGATATCGTATAATTAAATATGATAAAAAAACAACGAAAAATAAATATATTAAAAGCTTAAAAGGGTAAAACTTTTTGTGAGGCTTTCAATTTGTACGGTTATAAATTGAACTATTGAAGTAGGGGGAATATTAACTTTCTCTATTTTGAAATTATTTAAAAGAAATGGTGAGTTCAATTACGATTCTCACACAAGCGTGCTTAATACGATTGGAAAAGCCCGCGCAGAAACAAAAAGACGTCTCCGAGTCTTTCACTGTACTTTATGTTGGGATTCGGGACTATGGGGGGAGTAAAGAGAAGATGAAAAGCTCAGAATTTTCAAAGAAAGAGAAAAGAAGATGCAAAACAAGCGAATGAAATCAGAAGAAAAGGATATCCCGGTTGTAATGATAGAAAGCAGTAGTGAGGAAGAAGAAGAAGCAGAAAACGATGACGATTACGTTGGTGATAGTGATGAAGATAGTTGTGATCATTCAAGGGAGAATATCAAGAAGAGGAAAGTGGGTTCTAACAAAACTACAGGAGGAAATAGTAAAAGGGAGTCCAAAATGTGTCATCAGTGCCAGAGGAGTGACAAAGACAGAGTGGTGTGTTGCTCGAAATGTAAGGCCAAAAGATATTGTGTTTCTTGCATGACTCGATGGTGAGACTTTTCTCTATTTGACACATTTATCATGAAGAAACTTGACTGACATTCTTTCTTTTAGCCAAAGATAGAAACTTTTGATGATGTAAGTATATTATGCTGATGGTCTTTCAATCTAACACGCTCATGATGTAAACTTTCCAACTATGATCTTCTATTCTAACACACTACGATTCTAATCTAACACGCTGATGATAAGAGGCGGATCCAGGATTTAAACTCTATGGCTTCAGCTTTTAAGTTTCTTACTATTGAATTGATTGCAATTTTAGCGGATTCTTACACATAAATTTGTTCTCCACGTCTAGAGTTATGGGTTCAGTTGAACCTGGTGTCAGAAGGCTAGATCCGCCTATGCTGCTGATGGCCATAATGCATAAATAATACATATCTATCAGGTTCTGTTTTGCTGCTGCAATAATCTGAAAATGTAGGAGAATAGTTAATGGATTCATAAATAATTCTGTATGGTATATGATTTATTTTAATAGAGCCTCCTGTAACTTATGATTGTTTACTTTCTGATTTTCTAAGAGTACTAATTGATCCCAGTTGCTTAACAAGGTTGTCAAAATGTTTCATCACTGAATTGACCCAAGTACCGGTTGTTGGTGAAGTGTAGGGGTTTGAGGAAGTAACATTGAGATGTGCAACTTGTGAACGGGCTAGCCTTGTGTAGTAAATTAGGTTTTGCTTCCTCCTGCCTTGTAATTTGTTTATGCACTTGTTTGTACAGAATTGCCACCCAGTTATGTTGAAAAATAGGCTCTATAAGGGATGGTTGGTCTCTTTATATGGCTTGTGAGCTAGCTTTTGGGTTGACTTAGACCCAAGGTCCATTTTTTTAACATGGTACGAGGTCATGACCAATACCAATTCTCGAATTCCCAATGTGGGGCCCCCATATTGAATTGCCCACGCTCCAGATGAGTGTGAGGGGGGTGTAGAAGAGTCCCACATTGGCTCTTTAAGGAATGAGTGGTCTCTTTATATAGCTTGGACGAACCTCAGCTCTTTCGCTAGCTTTTGAGGTTGAGTTAGGCCCAATATCCATTTTTTTAACAAGTTATGCCATCAAGAAATTTCTTTACATGTTCAAAAGATGTGAAGGGTTTATGTAGCCAATGTTCAAAACGGGTAGCAATATGTCGGAAAAATGACGAGGCCTTTGGTTGAAATTGATCATATAAATATGCTAATTCATCAAAGCAAGATAACTGTTTTGTTTTACTTACAGCTTGTTTGGGTGGTCGTTACCTGTTGTATTGTATCGTATTGTTATTTTAAGTATAATGTTTGTTTTGATTGTTGCTTAAATTTTAATGTATCATATCATTAAATCCGTCGTTACGTAACGATGAAAATTGTCACTTTATGGAACGACCAATTTGGTGTGGTCGCATCGTTACCTTATTTTCTTTTACCGCTGTATGTAGGTACCCTAGGATGCCAGAGGAGGCCTTTTTAAAAGCTTGTCCTGTATGTCGTCACATTTGTAACTGCATAGCATGCTTGCGGTTAGATGGGTTGGCTAAAGTAGGCTTCATTCAATTCTTTCACCTTGTCTTATGTTCCAAAAATGATTTAGTTATTGCGAATTGAGTGGTACTCTTGTTTTTAATACAGCATTTGATGAATGTAGAAGTGAAGTTCAGTGATGAAGAAAAACTTGAGTACTCTAAGCACATTCTACGAGCACTTTTGCCTGCTTTGGAACAATTTAATACAGAGCAAATGATCGAAAAGGAGATTGAGTGCCATATACAAGGTATTAAATCTCTGAATTTGATGCTAGAAGGTTATATATTTTTAAAGAGGCGGTCTCATTTAATAGGTTATCACATGCTATTGATGACTAAGATTACTGATACGAGTGAAGTGTAATTTGACAAATGCTGGCATCATTTGATGAAGCCAAAAAGTTCCAAGTTGGCTTGTGTTTACTTTTACTTTTCCAATTTAATGAGGCCGTGACATGGACATTTTATTGAAGAACAAAAGGTTCCTTTTGTAATTATCCTTTTGGTAAGTAAAATAGGTGTCTCCTCAATATCTCTTTTTAGGAACAAAAGTAGGCCATTTCTACCGATAAAGTTTCATTCTTATTCAAAGGAATGATTTACAACTAAGAAGGCTGTGAGTTTTGCGGCTGAAATTCTTCGAAAAAAGGATTGTTTCAGTGAGTACTGTCTTTTTTTGGGGCAGGATTGCCAGATTCAGAGGTTAATATACGCAAAGCAAAATACGAGAAGGATGAACGCATTTATTGGTGAGCTTTCACAGTTATCTTAGACTGCAATTCATCGATAAGTTTACAGAATAATGAATATCACCTGTTATTTGCAGCAACTATTGCAGTGCTTCGATTGTTGATTTACATCGGAGCTGTTCTATCTGTTCCTATGAACTTTGCCTAACTTGTTGCAAAGAACTAAGGAATGGAAACCTTCAAGCAGGTGCATCCGAAGTGAAGGTGCAATATATTGACAATGGACCAGGTTATTTGCATGGTAAACCTAGTAGCATAACTCCAGCTAAGAATGGAACTTGCACGGAAACTACTGAATTTAAATTAAGGGATCATACAAAAGTGACAATGGCATCTAAATGGAAACCCAAGGAAAATGGTGCCATTCCTTGCCCTTCAAAAGATATGGGAGGTTGTAGTAAAGGCACCTTAAATTTGAGATGTATATATTCTGAGAATTGGATGTCACAGCTGTTACTGAAAGCTAAAGAAATAGCACAAAAGTGTAAATTGAAGGAAATATATAATGATTCAGAACTTCATTGCTCTTGTTCAAAATCTAAGGGTGCAAATGATACTTCCGGTGGCAAGCTACGTAAGGCAGCTGCTAGAGAAAATTCTGATGATAACTATGTATTCTGTCCAGCAGTTGGGGATGCTCGGCATGCAAACTTGAAGCATTTTCAGTACCATTTGTTCAAGGGTGAACCGATAATTGTAACTAATGTACTTGATAATGCATTGGGATTGAGCTGGGAACCTATGGTTATGTGGCGTGCTTGTCGACAATCAAAGAAGGCTACTGATGTTTTAAATTGCTTAAATTGGTGTGAGGTTTGTCCAGTCATCTATTCTAGAACTGTGAAACATAAGCTAATGTCATTGCATCTTATACTATGCCTGAATATCCTAATGCCGCATGACTGGGAAAGCCTACTAATTTCTCCATTCTGGTATTGGTCTAGCCTTCGCTATGTAGTTCAATGTCTTCATAGAACACAATCATGACACTAATATAGCTTAACATTTTCACAAGTCACGATTGGGATCTTATTAGTTGTGCTATTTCTGGGCCCTTTTATCTTCTTTGGTGAGTGTTATTTGATCTAGTTCCATATCTTGATCTCATTGTTTATATTTGTCAGCTTTATGACTTGCTCATTACATTGTGTGAGAGAGAATTGGCCAAACTAACGAAGTTTTACAAACTGGGTTAGAATATTTAATCCCAAGAGGACAATGTTTAGATCCAAAAGTTGAACTAGATCTGACTGATTTACAAGTAACCTCAACTTACATTTTGGTTACTTCTCTGCAGTCTGCACTAATTTGTGGTTCAAAGGAAACACGTCAACTAGCAGGGTAGCTTATTCCACTTATTAAGCTATAAAACATCGCCACTCTTACAAATAATCACGGTGATGCTTCACTTTCTGTTAAGTCTGTTTTACAAATTTTAAGTGATACTCCTATGTATCTAAGAAATTGACTATTTGAGTTTGTGTAAACATGTTTTGTCCTAATTGAAATAATTGAGGCATATGTTCTGATACAATATATTTTCCATGTTCTTACCTCAAATTACTTTATCCTGGATACGTGCAGTTGGAGATGAATATTCACCAGTTTTTCAAAGGGTACATGGAGGGTCGCTTTGACAGTTATGGGTGGCCTCGACTCTTAAAGTTGGATGACTGGCCGCCGTCAGGTCTATTTGATGAGCGGTTGCCGCGTCATGGTGCAGAATTTTCAAGTTGTTTACCTTTTAAGGAGTATACACATCCTCAATATGGCTATCTCAATCTCGCCCTAATACTTCCTGATAACTGTTTGAAGCCAGATTTGGGTCCTAAGGCATACATTGCTTATGGTTTTCCCATGGAGCTTGGACGTGGAGACTCAGTCACCAAACTACACTATCTTGTGTCTGATACGGTATGTTTAGATCCTACAAATGTAGTATAACAAGCTGCTGGTACTGTTGATATCTGGAGACCCTGGAAATATTAACATGCACTCTAATACTATGTTGCACGGGCTCCAAAATATTGCCGTACATGTCAGATTCTCCAAAAATGCACTACTTTTGGAGAATCTGACACGCACCCGGCGGCATTTTTGGAGAGCCCGAGCAACATAGCTCTAATATTTTCGGGGCATTTGGAAGAAGTTATATGAGAAACTTACAACAAATCCATATCTTCCGTGTTCTTATTTTTTTAAAACTATGTTTTAAACTTTTAGGTGAATGTCTTGATGCACACTCAAGCAATGGTCCCAACAGTTGAACAGCTCTCGGCCATAGAGAACTTGAAGCAGAATCACAAAGCGCAGGATCAGAGAGAATTTGTAACTTGTTCTAATAGAACGACCCAGAGGATACGGCTGAAGTTTTCTCAGGATAAGCAGAACTGTGATAGTTTGAAAGTTGAGAATAGTAATAAAGCTGAGAATATGAAGTATAGCCAGCAAGGTTTGAAAGTTGAGAATAGTAATGAAGGTGAGAATAAGAAGAATAGCCATCAAGGTGTAAAAGCAGAATGCGGAACAAATAAATTAGGAGAAAAGTACCAATGTGGGGAAGATAGTACTATTTTTGGGCAGAACAGGTCGGAAGGATTTGAGGAAGATGGCGGTGGTGCTCTATGGGATGTCTTTAGGAGGCAAGATGTTCCTAAACTGGAGGAATATCTCACAAAGCACTTCAGGGAATTTAGGCATATATATGGCTCACCGTTGCCGCAGGTACAGATAAGTGGGCAATGCACTAGTCTTATTATGTGTTGTGGGAATGATGTTAAGGGTCCTTGCCATGCACTAGTCCCACTATGTGTCTCGTTTAGTGTTGAATTGTGCCACAATCTCATCTGAAAATGTAAGCTTTTAGAGAGAGCATACTAGTATACTTAACTATGTTATATCTCAAACATGCCCCCTAACGTGTGAGCCTGTTTTGTTTTCATTGACCAATCCTGTGAAAATATTTTTTGATTTTTGGGTGGCGGTGAGGTTTGAACCTAGGCTCAATCTCTGCTTTGATATCATATTAAAGTGTGTGACTATCTTATCTAAAGGTTTAAGTTTTTAGAGAGAGCAGACAATTAATCGCTTAATTATACTGTGTGTAAAACAAAGAATGCCTGCCCAAATTAGTGAGTTCTGCTGTGGTTCTTCCCACCCTCCCTATGTAAAGTGACATATGTGTTTGTTCTTTTCTACCATGTCTCAGTTTGAAATCGGTTACCTGTCTTAATTCTTATTGTTCCATTACAGGTTGTTCATCCCATTCATGATAAAACTTTCTACTTGAGCACAGAGCACAAAAGGAGGCTAAAGGAAGAATATGGTCATATTATTCTCCTAATAATTGCCATTTATTTGCATGCCTCATATAGGAAGCAGTTTCTGACACTGCATCTTGTGTTCACTGCGCTTTCATGCTTTTCTTTTGCAGGCATTGAACCATGGACTTTTGTTCAAAAATTAGGTGAAGCTGTTTTTATTCCTGCTGGATGCCCTCATCAAATCAGAAATTTAAAGGTACCTAGTTGGTTAATCTCTCTATCCCATGTCATCATGTCGGCCTTCTACACAGCAAATTATTGTAGTATTAGGGAAGTCCAGTAGCACATGGAACTGTCATTTTCTTTTCTTTTCTTTTTCAACACAGTCTGCTTTTAGATTCCCGTCACAGTTTTTAATATTGCGCTAAAGAATCCTCTGTCCTATACTGCATCCTGAATGGCTCCTTCCCTATTGCTTCATGCAATTTGAGAAGAGGATAAAAACAAATTGAGTATTTCCAACTTAGTGTCTACAAAAATAGATTTGTATCTGATAAGCTCTGAATGGGCAAACATCTGTCTGGTCTAGTGATTAACGACATGTACGATGGAGCTAAGACTCAGGTGAGGAGAGTGGGAGGAGACTTAGATCATTTTCTGGTTGCGATGGGATTACACCAGGGATCCTTGCTTAGCTTAGCCTGTTTTTATTTGCCTTGGCTATGTATGCACTGACGCCCGACACTCAAGGGGAGGTGCCATGGTGTAGTTATTCACAGATGACATAGTATTGATCGAAGGTGACTGGAGGTATGGAGACAAACCCTAGAGTCCAAAGGTTGAAGTTGAGGAGGACTAGGACAAAATACTTGGAGTGCAAGTTCAGCAACGTGACGGAGGAAGCAGACATGGATGTGAAGATCGATTTATAAGTCATCCCAAAGAGAGAAGGTTACAAGTATCTCGGGTAAGTTATTCAGGGAAATGGGGAGATTGGCGAGGATGTTACACATTGTATCGGCGCGAGGTGGATGAAATAGAGGCTAGTGTCCGGTGTTTTGTGTGATAAGAATGTGCCACCAAAGCTTAAAGGCAAGTTCTACAGAGTGGTGTTAGACCGACTATATCGTATGGGGTAGAATGTTGGCCAGTCAAGAATTCCCATACGCAGAAGATGAAAGTAGCGGAGAAGAAGATGCTGAGATGGATGTGCGACCATACCTGATTGGATAATATTAGGAATCAAGATATCCGGGTAAAAGTAGGTGTGGTCCACGAGGACAAGATCCGGGAAATGAGGCTTAGATGGTTCGGGCATGTGAAGAGGAGAAGCCTAGATGCTCTAGTAAGTATGTGTGAGCGGTTGACTTTGGTGGGTATAAGAAGAGACAGAGGGAGGCCAAAGAAATATTGGGGAGATGTGATCAAGCAGGACATGGTGCGGCTTCGGCTTACTGAGTACATGACTCTTGATAAGAGGGTGTGGTGGTCGAGTATTAGAATAGAAGGTTAGTAGGTAGTCGAGTGCTTTTTGATCTATACAGGGGGTATTAGGGTTAGTTAGGTAGTGTTTTCTTATTCTTAGATTGCTAATTTTAAACTTGTTTTCCTATTACCATCCGTGTTGGTTTCTTAGTTTCTTGCTGTGTTTGGTGCTTGTTGCTATTTGGTGCTTGTTGCTACTGCTTACTTCCATCTATTTTTTGGCTCTTAGTTTGCTGTGATAATCTTTCTGGCACTTGATGTTGCATGTTGGTATTGCTTATTTCCACTATTTTAATGGTATTAGTGTTAGTTGGTATCCCTTTTATTCTTAGTTTGCTATTACCACATATTTTGTGTTGTTACTTGCCTTCCGTACGCCCTTAATTTGTTATCATTTCATATCTTGTACTGTTATTACTGACTATTAGTGCTTCTTTCAAACTCTCTTTTGCTTTCTTGGGCTTTGTTTTCTAAAAAATACCTCGTATTGATATTACTTGCTATAGGTGCTTCTTCCATCCTTTCTTTAGCCGAGGGTCTATCAGGAAACCGTCTCTCTGCCCTTCCAAGGTAGGGGTAAGGCTGCGTACATCCTACCTTCCCAGACCCCACTTGTGGGATTACACTGGGTTGTTGTTGCTTCCTGAGCCGAGGGTCTATCGAAAATAGTCTCTCTAGCCTCCCAAGGTAGGGGTAACGTCTGCGTACACATTACACCCTAGACCCTACTTCTGGGACTTCACTGGGTCTGTTGTTGTTGTTGTTGGTCAGAAGTCATTTTCAGCAGTTTTAAGGAAGGATGTAATTATCAAGATTCTGGGATGAATTGAAGCCCAAAAAAGTTTATCAATCATCAAATGTTTAAATAGATAACTATGTCTTTATTTTCTCAAAGTACACATCATTGGTAGATAACTTCTTATGGATTTATCTTTCTGCGCTGATATGATTTATTGTAGGCTCTTAACTTAGTGAACCACAAGTCTAGTACTTTTATATTCTCAGCTCGATGACTTCTGGCAGTTCATCTTTTACAGTCCTGCATCAACGTCGCTGTTGATTTTGTATCACCTGAAAATGTGAATGAGTGCATCCGTTTAACTGAGGAATTTCGGAAGCTTCCCAGAAACCATGATGCTAGGGAAGATAAGTTGGAGGTATATGGATCCTCTTATCTTCTTATTTATTTATTTTGGTATAAGAAATGCTCTTGACATGCTTCTGCCCTTAACCAGTTGACCATCTATGCAGCCTTTCACATAGAAATTATTAGTCTTAGATCCTCTGTTAAACTCCTCGTAATTACTTTCATTATGTAGTTTGATATTTAAGATTGCATGTCCCCATTACAAGTTGCCAGCTTTATAGTATGCACTACATTTATGTTTAGATGATATCACTTTGTAAAATTGGTATATATTTTATTTAATTTCTTCTGTAATGTTAAGTTTCTCTCAGAAACAAGTGTGTGCATGTGTAAAGATTATTAAATTCTGCCTGTGCGGCTTCAGGTAAAGAAAATAATTCTTCATGCGGTGAGCCAAGCATTGGATCATTTGGAAAAGACAACACTGTAAGATTGCTTCTCCTTGTTTTTGCGGAGTTATACCCTTAGTTGCTTTTTGTTTAAACATGAAACTTAGATATTTTGGAAAAAAAACATTAACTCATATAACTTTTTTTCCTCCTATGTGCTGCATACATCTTTTGCATTCAGTTCTTATTCTGGATATGCTTAAAGAATAATTTTATTTCTAATAGTGTTAGCCATGGAGCTTTTATCATCTGGTGTTGCCATTCTTGACATGCTTATTTCTATCCCTTCTATTACACCAGCTCAGACAGTGGATCTTATGTCGAAACACAACTATTTAAAGACAAAAGGTTTAGATGCTGGTGGTGTCATTATGGCATAATGCATTTGAGGGAAAAAAGTTGAAACTCTCCTTTGTGAATCTCGAAGGATAAATACCTGTAACTTGTAGCTCCAAAATGGGAAACCACAGTGGTGACTGCTGTTCCTTCTGGCTCTCTTGAGCATGCTAAGTATCCTTGTTTATGCATACTTACATTTTCTTTTTTCTTTTTCGTCATTGGATGCAAGTAGGAACACAGAAGCAGGCATTGCTGCGGGATCATCCTCATCAAGTCTGATAAGCAAAAGTATAAATGTGAGCCAAAGTCCGAACCTTGTTCATTTCTGAGTCGAACTTCAGTATTTGGCTTGTAATTTTCTCTTTTCTAGGCTATGACAGAACCAAGTATGCCAAAGTCTGCCTCTGTTATGGAAGATCTATCCAGCGGCAAGGATGCCATGAGAGAAGAATATATTGCTACAAGTGAGGATGAGAAACCAAGAACTGAAGTTGATCTACCTTCGCCACTTCCAGTTCTTGTTCATTCGTCTTCAGCGAATAAGGTTTGCTCAGTTGATAACTGATATATTTTCTGGTTTAGATTTTCCTTGTTAATACCGTATGGATTTATAAAAAATGCTTTTATTGGCAGGCTCAAGAAAGTACATCAGTTCCAGGACAAAACTTAAAGCAGTCCATCAATATAGAAGATGTGGAATCAACTTTCCACACGGTTCAATCATTCTTGAAGTCTTTACCAGAGCAGTATTCCGGCCAACAATCAGGCCTCCAGAGCGACACTGTCTCAACCCAAACACTCGCAAAAGTAATATTTGAATGCTCAATCAGAATGTCTTTGGAGGCATTAGCTGATCCAATGCATGAAAAAGAAATGTGTGGTGCTATTGCTGCTTTAAATGAAAATCCCTCGTCGTTTAGTGACGAACAAACCAAGCAATTGGTAAAACTTAAGTATGAATTCCCTTTCATGCTTAAGAAATGGAGGGACTTGGCACAAGCTGAATCAAGTTACCAGGAATTCTTGACCAAATTTGAAGAGGATAGGAAAAAATTGGATAATTGGATTAGATCAGAAGCAAGGTTGAAGTCAGAGTATGAGAAAAAGGAGGAACAAGCTAGGGAATTGGAAGCAGCCCTCCAAACTATAAAGACCAGGCAAAAAGAAATCATGAATGAAAGACAAGAAGCTTCTCAAGAAGCTCAAAGAATCATGTTGTTAGCTCAAGAAAAAGCTGGCAAGGTAGGGAGCACTAGAACTGAATTGATAACAACAAAAATGCAGATGGATGGCTTGCGAAAAAATTGGTCCAACTTTCAGTCTTCATTCCCATAGGCCTATTATGGCTCTTAGGATTAGGTACATTCTGGAAGGTGGAGTCAGTCCATTGTGTACATGTAAAATGTAGAAGAATGAATTGTGCCATCTTTCTTTTTCCCGAAAACTATTTAATCTGCTGCAATCTAGTCACATCTTTATTTATAGCTTGAACTGTCTGCTATTTGATTTACTTAGATAGATGGCTTTACATATTTGTGGGAATTCTAGATTCATATATTTTTTCCCCGTTTTCTATTACCTGAGTCGGCTAGTCCAAATTTTAACACAAAATGGTCTAAATTAATTATCATAGTTGAGAATGGCAAAATAAATAAAGTATTATTTACGTATTAGGTTTTCTTCTTAAATAGTTGGACTTTGCTGTTGTAGTATTCATGTATTAGGTTTTCTTCTTAAGCTAGGGGAAAGTTATGTGCTGAGCGAGAGCCTAATTTTGAAAGCAGCTAAAGAAAATTGAAAAAAGAAATGAGAAATCTTAAAGAGCAAGGTTTCAGAATTGCTCTTGAATAGACCTTTGCAATACTCGAGTTGAGTTCTGTGTTTAGAGAGAAAAGAAGAGATGATATTATTGATGAAAACCAAATCACACCCTATTACTATACTCTGCACTACCTTATATCTACTTAGGGGGAAAAACAGAAAAAAGGAGGAAAAGTTAGTTATAACTAACTCGGTGAATCTCACATGTGGCAACTAACTTCTAACTAACTTGACAGCTGGAAATTACAATCAATAGTAGAACTAACAACTAAAAGAAATCACTCAATTATTATGCATTTCATTCTGGATCATATCAACACTCCCCCCTTCAAACAATCTTTGTCCTCAAGGATTAAAAGCTGGAAACTTGAGCTGGAATTCCTGCCGATCTTCCCATGTACTATCTTCAGGTGCTGCATTCAGCCGCTTCACTAGAATATGGGTTGTTGCTTTACCATTCTTGGGAGCCAATCTTTTATCCAAGATAGCTTCTGGTTCGAGTAATACATGACTATGTTCAGCATGAACAATATGAAGGATTGGTGAAACTGGATGAGAACCAAGCTTCTTCTTAAGCTGGGATATGTGGAAAGTGGGATGGATTTTTGAGTAGGTAGGTAGAGCCAATGTATAAGCTATTGGTCCCACCTTTTGAGTGATTTGAAAAGGGCCATAGAACTTAGCCGAAAGCTTCTGAAAGGAATGACTTTTTAGGGATAGTTATCTATAGGATTGCAATTTAACATAAACCCTTTCTCCAACTTCATAGTTCCTATCAGTTCTACCTTTATCTGCTTGGGACTTCATTCTATTCTGGGCTCTCAGCAAGTGAAACTTGACTGTCCTCAATGTGGCCTCCCTTGCCCGTAGGCTTCTGTCTACCACTTCCAGTTGAGAGTCAAGTGGCATGTAAGGTAATAAAGAGGGTGGTTTCTGACCATAAACAACCTCATAAGGTGTCATCTTGATAGCTGAGTGATAGGTAATGTTGTACCACCACTCTGCCAATGGTAACCACTGGGGCTATTCTTGAGGTCTATCACTTATCATGCATCTAAGATAACGCTCCAAACATCGATTTACCACCTCAGTTTGGTCTGAGGGTGATACGCAGTACAAGTAAGTAAGGACACCTTCTGCAATTTAAACAACTCCTTCCAAAATTTGCTGGTGAAAACCACATCTCCGTTAGATACCACAGATTTAGGCATACCATGGAGTTTAAAGGCATTATCCATGAATACCTGAGCCACCTCTAATGCAGTGTAAGGGTGTTTTAAAGACATGAAATGAGCAGCTTTACTCAGACTGTCAACTACGACAAAAATAACTTCCTTGCCTTTAGCTTTTGATAATCCTTCAACGAAATCCATGGAAAGATCTTGCCATACCTTGTCAGGAATAGGTAATGGTTGTAGCAAACCTGGGTATGCTACATTCTCATTTTTACACCTCTTACAAAAGTGTAGACTGTTTGCTTCATTTTTTTCCAATAAAAATCCTGCTTGAGCTTGCTCAAAGTAGGAGAAATGCCGGAATGCCCTCCTATTGAACTGTTGTGGCAATAAGCTACCAACTTCCTTCTCAACTCCTCATTGTGGCCCACCATAATTCTTTCTTTTATACTCAGAATACCAGCCTAGTACTTGTAGTATGGTTTGGTTGGTGCAGAGTTTTGCAACTTCTGGATAAGAACTTGTAGAATAGGATCTTGTAACCAGGATTGTTTGACTTCTTCTAGCAATTCCACCTGAACTCCAGAGATACTGCAAAGTTGAGCTGGTTCCTCTTTTCTTGATAAAGCATCCGCAATAGTGTTGTCTTTCCTCTTCTTATAGGAAATAGTATAGTCATATCCGAGTAATTTGACTAGCCACTTTTGTTGGCTAGGTGTTGTTATCCTCTGCTCCAACAAATACTTGAGGCTATGATGATCAGTCTTGATGATGAAGTGCCTGCCCAACAACTATGGTCTCCATTTCTGCACTACACTCACCAATGCCAACAACTCTCTATCATATACTGTTAAGGCCTTGTTCTTTCCAGATAGTCCCTTTCTAAAGAAAGCTATAGGTCTGCTTTCTTGAGTAAGTACTGCACCAATACCATCTCCTGAAGCATCAGTCTCCACAATGAATTTCTTAGAGAAATTTGGCAGTGCCAAGACAGGAGCTGAAGTTATCAATTTCTTTAAATCCTCAAATGCTTGAGTTGCAGCCTCATTTCATATAAAGTTTCTCTTCTTTAAGAGATCAGTTAAGGGTCTAGCAATGGCCCCATATCCCTTAATGAAACGTCTGTAATACCCAGTAAGGCCTAGGAATCCCCTGAGTGATTTGATAGATGAAGGTTGAGGACAGCTGAGTACTGCTGCTATCTTCTGATCATCCATCGAAACTCCTTGTCCAGAGATTACATGCCTCAGATAATCTACCTGAGTTTCTCCAAAAGCACATTTGCTTTGTTTAACAGATAGTGTATTGGCTCTCAAAACCTCAAGAGTTTTCTCCAAGTGTATCAAGCGATCACCCCAAGAAGAGCTGTACACCAGTATATCGTCAAAGAAAACCAAAATAAACTTCCTCAAATAAGGGAGGAACAACTGGTTCATCAAGCTCTGAAAAGTGGATGGGGCATTGGTTAAGCCAAAAGGCATTACCAAGAATTCAAAATGGCCACGGTGGGTTCTAAAAGCAGTTTTAGGAATGTCAGCTTCCCACATCCTAATTTGATGGTAGCCTGATCTTAAATCCAACTTAGAGAAAAATTTGGCACCATAGAGTTTATCTAACAGTTCTTCAATGACTGGTATAGGGAATTTGTCTTTGACTGTGTGGCTGTTAAGCTCCCTATAATCAACACACATTCTCCAGCTCCCATCCTTTTTCTTCACCATAACAATAGGTGAGGAATAAGGGCTTGTGTTGTTCCTTATCACTCCAACAGTTTTCAACTCTTCAATCATCTTCTCAATCTCCTCCTTCTGTATAGTAGGGTACCTGTAGGGTCTAATGTTGATAGGGGAGGTGCCTTCCTTCGATACAATCCTGTGATCATGTTGCCTAGGTGGTGGGAGGCCTTTAGGAATATCAAACAAGTCACTATACTTCTGCAATACCTCCTGCAATCCTGACTTGTCTTCCACTATTTCTATCTGAGCTTGCAATTTCCAAAAACTAGCCCCAGGTTCAGGGCTTGTGGCAAACAATCCTACTGTCATCATAGATAATTCAACAAGTTTAGCTAACAGTTTGTCCATCTTACCCTGTTCCACCAGCTTCATAGCAGGAGGTTGTATCCCCCTCAATGAAACCTTTTGTCCCTTATATGTAAACTCCATTTTTAACTTCCTAAAATTCCATAGGATATCTCCCAGTGTGATCAACCACTGCACCCTTAGAACCATATTGCAGCCACCCAAAGGTAAGGTCAGCATGTCAGACACAAACTGAGCCCCTTGCATTTTCCAAAGGAACCCTTTGCAGATAAAGTTGCTGTGCATTCTGTTGCCATCAGCTACTGACACAGCAAAAGGATGGATCCTAGTTAAGTAACATCCCAACCTCTTTGCAGTATTGAGGTCCATAAAGTTGTGAGTGCTACCTGTGGCAATTAGATCTTGATAGCCTTCCCCTTCACTGAACCTGTAACCCTCATGGTTCTAAACATTGTTCTAAAATCTTGGGCACCAATCATTGCTTGAACTGAAACATGAGGTAAGATGGCTCCTTCATTGTCAACCTCAAATTCTAACCCTTCCATACACAAAAATTTAGAGGGATCAAGCATTACATCTCCCTCATCACCCCCATCTCCTACCCCTTCTGGATCCTCCATCTCAATAGAAAATAACTGTCTTCTCTTTGAACACACATGTCCGGGGACATATTTTTCATCACAATAAAAGCATAACCCTCTAGACCTCTTATCCTCCATTTCATTGGGACTTAGAATCTCTGGATTTTTGTAGATTGGTTTAGCAGCTCCAGTAAAAGAGTTCTGGGCTTTTTGGATAGATAGGTTTGGTTTAGAAAAAGGCTGGTTGTTGTAATAACCGGTGTTAGCAGGGAGATATCTTTGGGTTGGTTTGGGATTATAAAGAATTGGGGTACTCTTTGAGGCTTGTTTCTGGATTATTAGTGTTTGTTCTTGGATTTTGGCTAAACTGATTGCCTTCTGTATGGATCGAGGAGCAAACATCTTTACAGGCAATCCTATTTCAGGTTTAAGACCTCTCAAAAAGCAACTAACAACATATTCTTCATTTAATTCTACTCTAGTTAACAAATTCATCAAACAGATCCACATAATCTTGTACAGAGTTTACCTGCTTGAGGTCTTTCAAATCTCTCATTGGATCCTCAAATAACTCTGAACCAAACCTTGCATACAAACATCTCACATATTCTCCCCAGCTAGGCCACTCCCTCGTCAATCTAGTCTTCATAAAAACTTGATGCCATTGAAGAGCCTTGCCTCCCATTCTACACGAAGCCAATTTCACCTTAGATGTTTCTGGGGTTTCATCTACTTCAAAGAACTGCTCAAACTGATACAACCAGTCCCGTAAACTAGTGCCATCAAATTTTGGAAATTCCAGTTGATTCCTCCTCGTAGGCAACTGATAATCTTCTTCACGTCGATCTCTTGTAGCTGCAGTTGCAGTATCTTCCTCCACTCTAGGATTCACCTGCGATCGTTGATTCTCCACGTTAGTCAAGAGGATTCTCTTAAGCTCCTCCATCGACTGCGCAAGCTTCTCGTCCATGTTCCTCCGTAATTCCTCCATGGTTCCAGTGATACCTTCAAAAGATTCTCGAAGACCATCGAGATCTCTTCGAAGCTCTTGTATTCTAGTGTTATGTTCCCCCATTTTCACTTTCCACATATCCAAGGATCGTGAGCTTTGATACCAATGATAGCAACTAAAGAAACTTGAGAAAAGAAATGAGAAATCCTAAAGAGCAAGGTTTCAGAATTGCTCTTGAACAGACCTCTATAATACTCGAGTTGAGTTCTATGTTTAGAGAGAGAAGAAGAGATGATATTATTGATGAAAATCAAATCACACCCCATTACAATACTCTGCACTGCCTTATATCTACTTAGAGGGAAAATAGAAAAAGGGAGGGAAAGTTAGTTATAACTAACTCGGTGAATCTCACATGTGGCAACTAACTTGACAGCTGAAGATTACAATTAATACTGGAATTAACAACTAAAAGAAATCACTCAATTATTATGCATTTTATTCTGGATCATATCAAATTTCTAATGGAGAAATTAACACAGATTGATTTAATTAATGATTTGACTTTTTTTAATGAATTTAGGTATGGCCAGTTTCTCGGCATGTGCGTTGTATGTGTATGCCGAGTTATATAGTATTTTGTTAATAATATCAATATTAACAAAATAATATGAAAAAACAAAGTACAAATTTTTGTGGATCGTCATATCGATACTTGTTTGTCAATGTCAAGATGATTAGATATCGTCTTAACCTACGAAGATAAATAAATAAAATTTTATCAGATACATGCGATTTTTCTTTTTTACTTATTTTGATTTTATTAGGTACAAACATATAATGAAGCTTATCTAACATAATATTTATAGACGATATTCCTAGTGTATATTCTTTTTATCTGTTTCGATTGCTCTGTCATGACCAGAACTCATGTTGTCAACATGATATATCTGTTGAAAGTGTAATGTGAAGTTGGCCATGTGAGAAAATAACACTAACTGTCTTCTAAAATGTATTGTCCTCTATAAATTCTTCCATAGCACTACAAATCAATCTGAGCATATCAGCTCAAACAAACAAATATATATGGAACATTTACCTACCTATATATTATGAACTTATTTATCCCTCCTAGATAGGTTATCATTTAGTTACGTTAGAATATACAATTTATCATTTATATACAAAATAAAGTATTAGACTCCAATTTCTCTATGCGATCCCGAGACGCCACCCGCGATCGCGATGCAGTACTGTGCATCAGAAAACCAGTAATCCATACCCAATTTGAAATTCTCCGAAGCCACCCCGAAACTCACTCGAGCCCTTGGACCCCGTCCGATCATCATAACAAGTCCGTATACTATATACAAACTTGTTGAATGGCTCAAAACACTAAAAACAACATCAAAATCATAATCACATATCAAACCAAAAATCTAAAATTCTCTTATTTTAAATTATAACTTTAGACTAGAAGCGCCAAATCAATCTCGGGCCATACGAGACCCGAACCAAATATATTTACAAGTCTAAAATTATCATACGGGCCTATTGGAACCTTTTCACCAAATACCAATCCGGGGTCGTTTACCCATAATGTTGACTTTGGTCAACTCAGTGTTTTAAAAGGCGTGGGCATAAGGCGAGGCGTAAGCCCTGAGCCACGGGGCGTAAGCCCCATAGGTATTTAATTTTTAATATTTTATAACATAATATAATTACAGTAAATATTTATAAACATTTAAAATTACATAAAAATTGAAGAAAACTTTATATATATATAT